TATTCGAATAGTCTTTAAGTCTTATTAATTATAATTATCTCGTAATATCTTTAATAGTATAGAGATAGAGAAAGAATTTATTAAAGTTATAGATATAATTCTATTAGTCTTCTAATAATTATAAATAGTAGAAAAGTAAAAAATTCTTATATAGATTAAAGATTTTAAGCTCTAATATAGTTATAGAGTATTAATAAGAATCGCGAGAACTTTAAATAGAGATATATAAATTAATATTATTTTAAAGTATTTTCTAAATAGTAGTAGTTTATATAAGATTAAATATAATACGTGAAGTAAGAAATAGATTACTTAAAAGATAATTAATAGCTATTTAATACTTAATTATTATTAATTAATACTCTAGAAGTAGTAGAATACGCTAGAGAAGATTATTACGTTTTTTAAGAAATATCTATCTCTTATTAATTTTTATAGCTTTTTTTTACTACTTTAAGGCTTAATTTAATTCGTTCTTATTAGAAGTAGATAGAGTAGTAATTTAAGATATATTAAATTATTAATAGTAAAGTTATTTAATAATTAAAATAAGAAAGCTATTAAATATAGAAAAAGAATCTCGATTAAATTTATTGCCTCGACGTCGACGTTTATCGAATATTCTAGAATATCTTATCTATACTCGTATTTACTAGAATTTGTAATCTACTAGAATATTAGTATTAGAATTAATATAGGTGCGATATTAGTATAGGTGAGATAGAACTAGAATAATAAGGCTATCGAACTATATATATGAAAAGGAGATATAATATAATAGAGAATGCCTTCGTTAAGGCCCGCTAGCTATAGGGCTAAGTGGTATATTAAGAATACGCTCGTAATACTACCCTCTCTCTCAAATAGCCATGGCCCTCTATGGCTGATAGATCGAAGATGTAGGCTCATTACTTGCCTTATATCTTCAAACATCCATAGTCGGTGTAGGCCTTGGCTGGAAGATGATTGAGATCCTCGGAGATATAGCTATATCTTGTATCGATAAGATTCTCTAAGTTCTTCTCCCGTCCAGCCTATCTATTATAGGCCTTCGAAAGAACTAAATAATTTCATCGCATACATATGTATTATGCTCGCTGAAAATTTATAAAAATAAAGAACTTTTAATATTAGTATATTAGGTTAAATTAGTATCTTTCTTCGACGGCGACGACGATAGTAATATCGCGTCCCGGAGATTCCGCTAGCGCGTTATCTTATACTTTATTATAGCGTTAAAAGACTTTTAATTTAACGAGAATTTATAAAGAATTAAATAAATAATAATCGAAAAATAATTTACTATACGATAATTATCTAATTCTATATTTATAATAAAGAAGAAATCGATAAAATAATATAATTTAATTAGTTAAGATCTCTCGAATCGAATCGAGCCGTAGGCGCTAAAACTCTAATTTAATATTAAGTGAGTTTCTTTATAGAATATTATATAATCGATATTAATAAAGACTATCGACGACGATAGTAAGATCTATAGATAACGTATTATAGCTTCGAAAGCTCTTTAGATATATAATAATAAGAGGAGTCTACTTAATAAATCTAATATAAGACTATTAATAAGTAATATAGGTCTAGGGAATCGATTTCTTAATATAAAAAAAGAAGGTAATTCTAATATCGAATGATTTTAATTCGTTTAAAAATACGATATTCGAAGTATTATCGAGTCGCTTATAGAAAGCCCTAGCAACTAAGCTCGTATACTTTATCGAAATCTATATCGAGTTCGAAGTATTTACTATACTTTTATATATAAGTCTAATTCTTATTCGTAAGATCCTCTATCTTAGTAAGACTTAAATTCTCTATATTAAAAGTAAGGCGAGTTATAATTAAGTATTTACTCTTCTTTATATTAGTCTTAGTCTTTACTTTTACGTATTACTCCGCGAATCTTTTAATCTTCTTCTTAGCGAATCCCTTAATAGATTATTAATATTAAAGCTATATTCTTATAATACGTTTCTTTAATTTAGATATAGTTTAATTTCTTATTAATAGATTAATTAAGTTATATAAACGAAGTTTCGATTTCTTTTATATATCGTTTATTAGACTATTATTCCTAAGATCGTTAAGACTATTATTTCTAAAATTACATTCGATATACTTAATAAGATCATCGTAGAATTTGAGAAATAATTGACTTCCTTAACTTATTTTATCGTAAGTATATTAATAGATTTCTCTAAGAACGAATAAGAGTATCTTATATACGTTACTTAAATAATCTAGAAGATTATCGACTATAGAGTATAAGCGATATCGTCGTCTAATAGATATATGCTAACTGGCTTCCCCTCTAAGTCTTATTATAACGTAGGTAATTTTAAAGATATCGATGAGAAAATAATCACCATTATGAGTAAGCTTGTCTTGAATTCTCATTTTCCAGTCATCGAATGATATTAAATTAGTGCCCGTGAAGATAGGTGGATCTGGTAGCCTTGGGCTGAGTGGCTGTCTGATTTGCGGTTGTCGATTTGCTCTAAGTGTCTCGAAATCTCGTGGTATGGGTGGTGGTGGGGATGGGGGTGGAAGGGCAGAGATGCTAGCCGAGTTTTGGCCCTGCGTCTCCTCTTGATGTCCTGGTATCTCCTCTTGATTGGTGTGAAATGGCGACGGGGGCGGAGCGGAGATGCCAGGCGGGTTTTGGCTTTGTGCCTCGGGTTCTTGAGCCTGATTCTCCCCTGGCTGACTCGATGTTCTACGATATCACTAATAAAGGTCCTCAGTAGATAGAGATCGCTGTATACGTGGTATGCGGAGTGATAGCGAGTTGGGAGGTGAATATCTTCTATGTAGGTCGTCGTATATAAGGTAAGGGTGGTCGCGGTATATAGGTGATCGGCGATGTGGAGGTATATATCTTGGTATTAATGTAGGTGGATTTGAGTAAGAATTTGAGAAACTCATGATGTGTTGAATGTAAGTGAAAATGGAGCGAAGAAGATAGGCGTAGAAATGGCGATTTTGGCTAGTAGTGTCTTTGTCGAGTGGAATAAAGAGATCTCTAGAACTCCGGTACTGTGAAGGCGTATACGAGTCGAGAAAGGTAGTAGATCTCTGTGTTGAGTGTTGAAATTTGGCTGTAATATCCGAAATAGTGTTATTTCTTCGCGGGAGTCTATAACACTCGTTTTTTGGCCAATTAAGTCGCGGTGAAGCCTATGAGTACTCTAAAGAGTGTTCTTTTAAATGGTAGAAAGTCCGCCGGGCGTCTATTGACTAGTGATAAACTTTTTGCGGGGAATGAAGCGGAGAAGGATTTCTTGTATTCGATGTAGGGAACTCGTTTTTTAATAAATTGAGTTACCGTTAATGATGTAGGTTGTTTAATATAGGTTCTTTCGAATAATATAGGTAATTTGTGATTTAAATATGTAGTAGGGCTTCTATATAATAGAAATACCCAGCGTTTTCTTTATTAGGCTCGGTCGCTTGCTCTAAGCAGAAAGTGAAAAATACTTATTAGTTCTCTTCGTCAGGGGATATACGAAGAAACTTTATTATAATATTAGAATTAGTATAAATGCGATATTAGTATAGGTGAGATAGATCTAGAATAATAAGGCTATCGAACTATATAAGTGGAAAGAAGATATAATATAGTAGAGAATATCTTCGTTAAGGCTCGCTAGCTATAGGGCTAAGTGGTATATTAAGAATACGCTCGTAATAATTAGAAACTTAATAATATATATAATAACTCTTTATTATAGTATAGAGAGAATATTAGTTATATGAAATTATTATGAGTATAGATTTTATAGTAGAGTAGAAAGACTAAAAGATTCTAATACGCTAAGTTTAATTAATCTTTCTTCTATTAAGAATAAGTAAGATTTATTAAAGATATAATAATTTTAAAATATTTTATAATAAACTTTTAATAGAAATTAGCGAATCTTAGAAATACTTATATATCTTTATTATATAATATATCTATTTCTACTTTTTTTATTATAATAATTAATTTTAGATATTTAACTTTTTTAATATAAAAATTTTTTTTTTTAATTTTAAAAAAGAGATAACTTTTTTAAATTTTTTTTTTTTTTTTTTTTTTTTTTTAAATTAATATTTTTTTTATTTTTTTTAAAAAAAAAAATTTTTTTTAAAAAAAAAAAAAAAAAAATTTAAAAATTTTTAAAAAAAATTTTAAAAAATATTTAAAAAATAAAAAAAAAAATTATAAAACAAAAAAAAAAATTTAAATAAATAAAAAAAAAAAAAAAAAAAAAAAAATATAATTTTTTTATAATTCTTTTTTACTCTTTTTTCATTTAAAGATACTATAAAATAAAATTTAATTTTTTTTTTTTAAAATATATTTTAATAATAAATTTTTTTTTAAAAAAAAAAATATTTAAAAAAAATAAAAAAAAAAAAAAAAATAAAATATAAATTAAATATTAAAAAAAAAAAATATAAATTTAATATTTATAATAAAAATATAAAAAAAAAAAAAAAAAATATATTAAATAATATTTTATATAAATATTTAATAATATTTTTATTTTAAAATAAAATTTTTAAATTTTTAAAAAAAATTTAAAAAATTAAAAAATTAATTTTTTAATTTTTTATTTTTTATTTAAAAAAAAAAAAAAAAAAAAAAATAAAAAAAATTTAAAAATAAAAAAATAAAAAAATTTATATAATATAAATATATAAAAAAAAAAAAAAAAAGATAGGATTTTTTTTTAACCTTGAATTTGTAAAGTGCAGCCAATCATCAATTCGGGTCCTATACGCTTTTTAGTTAGACCGGCTGAGTCAGCCCGATAGCCCTCCCGTATCTCCCTCATCAAAAATTTGTATATAGAAGTTTTACACTTTGAAGTACTCAGCCTGCGATACATACAGTTTCTTCATAATTCCTCAAATTGTAGAGCTCGCTTTGCGCTTTCTAACGCTGTAAAAATTATGAAGTTTGGCCTACTATTGGTGGATTAAATGGACATTCAAATATGGTAGTCATGGTAGTCACACCAGACGCGTCCGGGATCGGATAATAATCCTTCCACCTGTTTGTTATTCTTCCACCATTCTACTAATTCTACCAATTCTACCAATTCTACCAATTCCACCAATATAAATATAATCGTCTTCGGTACCCCTCGCCTAAAGGTTACTCAACGTCTAAGGCACGTATACCTCTTTACCCGCCTCTTAGAGCCCCTACTAACGCCCCCAGGCGATGCTACCTCCCAAGACGCGTCGCAGCCAGTCACTCAGTCATCCACTCAGTCAGCCACTCAGCTAGCTACTCAGTCTGATACTCTACAAGAGAAGAAGTAAGAGGAGGAACTACAACAGGTAAATGCGGAGAACACTGCGGAGAAACCAAGCGGCAACAAGGCCACCATCGTCAAGAACACGGCTCAGCTCTCCAAGATCCCACGTCATATCATATCCACTCAGTCAGCCACTCAGCTAGCCACTCAGTCTAATACTCTACAAGAGGAGGAGCAAGAGGAGGAACTACAACAGGCAAATGCGGAGAACACTGCGGAGAAACCAAGCGGCAACAAGGCCACCATCGTCAAGAACACGGCTCAGCTCTCCAAGATCCCACGTCATATCAATTATCCACTCAGTCAGCCACTCAGCTAGCCACTCAGTCTGATACTCTACAAGAGGAGGAGCAAGAGGAGGAACTACAACAGGCAAATGCGGAGAACACTGCGGAGAACACTATGGAGAACACTGCGGAGAAACCAAGCGGCAATAAGGCCACCATCGTCAGGAACACGGCTCAGCTCTCCAAGATCCCACGTCATATACTCTCCACGGTTCCATATCAAATCATCACTCAGCAAGCGGAGAACACCACTGCAACTTGGCCTGTCATCCCCACTGTATTGAGGAGCAAGAGGAGGAACTACAACAGGCAAATGCGGAGAACACTGCGGAGAAACCAAGCGGCAACAAGGCCCCCAGCACCAAGAACAGGCTCAGCTCTCCAAGATCCCACGTCATATACTCTCCACGATTCCACATCAAATCATCACTTAGCAAGCGGAGAACATCACTGTAACTTAGCCTGTTATCCCCACTGAATTGAGGAGTAAGAGGAGGAACTACAACAGGCAAATGCGGAGAACACTACGGAGAAACCAAGCGGCAACAAGGCCACCATCGTCAAGAACACGGCTCAGCTCTCCAAGATCCCACGTCATATGCTCTCCACGGTTCTACATCAAATCATCACTCAGCAAGCGGAGAACACCACTGCAACTTGGCCGTTCCACATCAAATCATCACTCAGCAAGCGGAGAACACCACTGCAACTTGGCCTGTCATCCCCACTACATTGAGGAGTAAGAGGAGGAACTACAACAGGCAAATGCGGAGAACACTGCGGAGAACACTATGGAGAACACTGCGGAGAAACCAAGCGGCAACAAGGCCACCATCGTCAAGAACACGGCTCAGCTCTCCAAGATCCCACGTCATATCAGTCATCCACTCAGTCAGCCACTCAGCTAGCCACTCAGTCTGATACTCTACAAGAGGAGGAGTAAGAGGAGGAACTACAACAGGCAAATGCGGAGAACACTGCGGAGAAACCAAGCGGCAACAAGGCCACCATCGTCAAGAACACGGCTCAGCTCTCCAAGATCCCACGTTATATGCTCTCCACGGTTCCACATCAAATCATCACTCCGGAACGATGCATATTTGGACGAATTGAAACCGTCCGATGTCTATAGCTATTTCATTATTCGAAAAATTTCACTGCGGCAGGAGATATTATGGGATTCACACCACTAATTGACACGTTGTCTCCATTTCTTTCCGGTATTTCGATACTTCTTGCCATAAGGATATAGCCTTTCTCTATTTTTTATAGGTAATTATTACACCTTCCTAATTAGGCCTTAGCGCGCCTCTCTCCGCACATATATGCCTATATACTATATAGATTAAATTAATTTTATAGTGATGAAAGTAGGTTAAAAACGCATAGCAAGCGATTAGAGTTCGATTTAACTTAGGGCTAGGGCTAAAATTCGATTTAACTTAGAAAAATCCAACTCTATGAATTTAATTCATGGGCCTTTACTTGTATATTATAAAAACTTATTTCTATAGCTATTTTATAATTAAAGATTTCTTTTTTAGCTTATAAAAGAATTTCTTATAATCTTTTATTATAATAGTAATAATATTAATAGTAAACTTTACTTTTTTATTAATAGAATTAAAAAGTTATTTAAAATCTTAAAATTATATAATAATAATTTAATTCTCTAATTTCTTAGTTATCTTAATAAAAATATAAATAAAAATTTCTATTATATTCTTTTCTTTAAATATAATCTTTACTATATAATTTAAATTCTTTTTTAAAAACTTATTATTACTTTAAATAATAATAAATTTACTATATAATAAATAGTTAAATATATAATAATCTAAATTAAATATTTAAATATAATAATTCTAAATCTAAAGAATATATAAAAGTTATACTATTTTAGTTATAATATATTTAAAATAATATTAAATTATTTTAATAAGATAATTAAGTATTAAAGTTCTTTTATATAATCTTCTAAAATAAGTTTTATTAAGATTATATATATAATATTAGAAATAAAGATAGATTTATTATTAATTAATTATAATCTATAAAGTTATATTAATATTACTTTAAATAGCTTATTTAATTAAATAATAGATATATTTATAAAGCTTAATATTAAAGCTTCGATATTCGAGAAATAATTAATTTTAATCTATTCTCTTAATATAATAATTTTCTTATAAAAGTTTAATTAGCGTTTAATTTATAAAGAGATTTTAATAGTAATAATATAACCGAATAGAGAGATGAAAGCGATTATTCTTTCTCTTTCTAACTCTTTACTTCTTATATATAAGACTTTTAAATTTTTAATAGCGACTTAATTAGAGATATTTAGTTTCTCAATTTTTATAATAATTCGATAAGAATATTTTTCTTAATATTAACGACTTTTAGAATTATATTAACTTATTCTTCTATTAATAAATTTATATTTTTATATAAAATATTATTATCGCTAGAATAATATCTAGTCTTTAAATATTTAAAATATTTATCTTCTTTTTAAATTCTATTTATTAATAATTTAAGATATTTATATTCTTATATATAGAAATTTTCGATAATAGTATTACTATTTTTTCTAGTAGAGAAAGTATTATATTAATTATTTAAGAGAGTAAAGTTTATATAATTATTATTAATTTATTAATTTATTTTTTATTCTTTAAATCTAATATATTATTAATAGCTTAAAGATTTATATTTAATACTTATAGAAAAATAACTAATTCTCGAAAAGTACTAAAAGATTATTTTAAAATTCGATATTTTAGATATATAGAGATTAATCGTTTTAGATTAAATATCTTATAAATATTAGTAGATCTTAAGAAAGTAATAGCTATAGAGAATTATATATAAAAATTCTTAAACGATTCTTCTTATCTACTATTCTTATATTAAATTTAAATTTAAATATCTTAATATTCGATTTAGTAGTTTTATTATATATTCTAAATATATTATCTAATTTATTAATTATTTCTTAAACAATTTAATAAAAGTTTAATATATTTTTATCTACTTTTATTTTAATAATATTATATATAGTAAACTTATAATAAACTTATATATAATCGATTTTCTTAAGTTTAATAAAGAAGATTATAGCGTTTTATTTAAATTTCGCTTTAAAGTATTAACGCTAGCTATTCTACTTATCTTAATTATTAATACTATAGAAATTCGAAATATCGAAATATTATTTATTTAATTCTATATTCTCTACGCGATCTATAATAAAAATATAATATAAGTTTTAATAAATACTATTAATAAGAATACTCGACTAATAAGATATAATCTTTATATTCTTTTTATTAAAGTTTTTTAAATTAACTAATATATAAGATTATTACTTTATTAACTATTATTCTTTATATTTTAAATTTTATTTAAATTTCTTATTTTCTTTAATAAATTTCGTAATACTAATATAATATCTATTACGTAAATCTTAAAGTCTATTATTAATTTCTCGCTTATAGAATAATTAATTATTATTATTATTTAATTAAGTAATAATTATTAATATCTTTATCTTAGCTTAAATAATATTATAATTAAATTTTTTATTTTATTATTAAAATATCTTAATATTATAATTAATAATTCGAAAGTTTTCTATTAAAATCTTTAATTTATTATATTAAATATTAGAAATTTTAATAACGCTTTTTATAAAATTCTATAAATTAATAATAGAGATAAAGATTATAATTAACTCTTTTTCGATAATATTTATAAGTTATACTTCGATATAATTTAAATTAAATTTAATAATATATCTTTTAAAGATAGAACGCTTTTTTTTATATCGTGCGAATAATATAATAATATTTAAGATCTTTTTATCGAAGTTTTTAAGTTCTTCTAAATAATAATATATTTATAAATTATTTCTAATAGTTTAACTTTAAATATTATCTAGATTTAGAATTAAGAGTTTTATAGCTAATATTAAACTCGTAAAAATATAAAGAAAATTTAATTTAAGATCTATTTCTTTTAGTATATTAAAGATATTTATTTTCTTTAAATTTTTATTTAATTTAGCTAAATTAGTCTTTACGAGTACATTTGCAAATCTGAAAAGTTCCTACTAAATTTCAAATTGCTGATCTTGCGAATAGGGCTGAAATTAAGAATTCCGCCGGTTTAGTAACTATCTTAAAAATCAGCCAAAATTCCGCCGGTTCAATAACTATCTTAATCTTTTTCGTTAGTTCTACTAGTTTAGTAGTAATATATATAAAAAAGAAAAGTTCTAATAATCGACGTTGCGATGATAAGGTTCTACGACGATAAGTATTAACGCTAACTCAAATTTAGTTATAGAATTAGATAATTTAATGAAATTAGTTACGTGAATAATACTCTAATATAGCGTATAATAATGCGTATATTGATAATGATATATATTGATATTATATATACCCCGTATATAGAATAGTACTTAGAGTACATTACGTAAAATTTTTGAAGTTACTGAAAATTTTTTAAAGTTACTAAATTGATAGAACTAGCGAAAAGAGTTAAATATAGATAAAGTCTACTTAATAGGCTAAATCGTACTAAATCGTACTTATGATGCGGACTCGGCGAAAATTATACGGAAAGGAACTTTTGATTTGCAGATGTAAAGGCCTATAAATTAAATTTATAATTATTTTTTTAATTAGAGCTATCGAGTAAATAGATAAGCGATCTTTAATAAGCGATATTTAAATTCCTTACGCTTTAATAATTATAAGATAAATTTTTAAAATTCTTAAAAATTCGAAAAGCGTAAATAGCGCTTTAAACTTTTAGAAAAAAATCAAAATTTTAATAGAAAATAAAAAAGTTATTACTATTATAAATAACGTACATCTATTTTTTTAATATGGGAGGCGCGGGAGGGCGAGATTTTGATAGTTGCGGACGTCTCTTTATTTATTCGCGATAACTTAGCTAATCTAATTAAGAAGCGTAGTAACTTTAAATTTATAATTAACTATATATATAAATTTAAAATTTTTAAGCTTAGCTCTATCTTATTCTTTTATATATACTAATATAAATAAAAGATTTTTTTTTAAATAATCTTTTAAGTAGTAAGCTTCTTTAGCTATAACTATTAACTTCTTAATAATATACTTTCTTCTTAACTATATATTTAATATAATTAATAAATAAATTACTATCGCTTTAGAAGAAAAATAGATAATATTATATTAGAGACTTAATAGTATATATAATAACTCTATATTATAATATAAAGAGAATATTATTTATATAGAATTATTATAAATATAAATTTTATAATAGAGTAGAAAGATTAAAAGATCTTAATACGCTAAGCTTAATTAAATTATAATATAAGTAAGATTATTAAAATCGTAATAAAGAATTTATAATCTTTAAAATCTAATTCTTATAATTTATTATTTTATAATAATATAATTTAAAACTAGAAAAAAAAGTTAAAAGAATATAAAATATAATTATTGTAGTTTCATTTTTTTTATAATTAAGCTTAAATTGATAAAGTTATATAGTAATTTATTAAGATATAGTTATTAAAGTTTATTTCGCTATTATATAAATTAATCATTATTACCTCGATTTTAAAAACTCTTAAAAATATTAAAGTCGTATTTTATATTCTTTTAGATTTTCTTCGAGTTTTTTATTATAAAGTTATAAAATAATAAATTATAAAGATTAAATTTTAGAGATTATAAATTCTAGTAAATACGAGTAGCGTAAAGTATAGATACTCTTAGATATAGCTTTTTAGTCTCTTAGTCGATATAAGAGATAACTACATCTATAAGTTAATAATATCTTATATTTTTATACTTTAAGAAATAATAACTTATAAATTTATACTCCAAAGACTAGCAACTTACAAATTCATATCTTATTTTTTTTAGTAAGGGGTATAAAAATGTAATTGACTCTATAATAGATATTTATAAATTACGTTTCTTAATGTGAGAGATATTAGCTCGAATACTAATTTGTAATAATAACGAATATACGAGTAATGAGGTAAGTAGGGTCATCGACAATCGATGAATATAAAGTTGGGGCGAATTACATTTTCATACCTTAAACTATGAAATTCTTACAAATTTATACTCTATCTTACATTTTCATACCTTAATAAAGTATGAATTTATAAGATATCATTGATAGGGGTATGATTTTGTAAGATATTATTTATAGAGGTATGATTTTGTAAGTTACCATCTATAGGGCGGGTTGGTATTAGGAATTATTCCTTCGAGAGCCCTGCGGGGCTTCTTAGAGGTGTCTACAGCGTGAAGTGTAAATACCCCTATTTAACCCTTTAGCGGTAACTCGGGTTACTATCAATTGGGGTAGATAGCCTGAAATACCCTAAAATACCCTTCTAATGATTTATAGGTATAGGGATGTTGTGTTAGCAACTCAGCCAAAAAAACGTGGTCCCGGGGGTCACTGCGCTTGACAGCCAGACACTCCTATTTGGACCTAAATGGGGCCCCGTAGGGCTCCCGTAGGGACGTCGCAGGGCCCCCGTGAGGGCTGCTGCTAATATGGTATCTTACATTTTCATACCCCGAGAAATGGTAACTTACAAATTCATACCCCAAAGACTGGCAACTTACAAATTCATACCCCATTTTTTTGGTGAGGGGTATGAAAATGTAAGATGGGGTATGAATTTGTAAGGATCGCATAGTTTGGGGTATGAATTTGTAATTTGCCCTACAAAGTTGAGACTTGTGGCAACTAGTCAACAAAGAACTGGGTACCATCGGATGCGTAGATGACGGCAGTGTGCATCAAAATTACTAAATAGGCTCATCAAGGCGTTTTATCTATTTTGTATGCACGATGATGCAAATGGTGCAGGGCAGTCTTGCTCACTGTTCAAAAACAGGTCCCATCGTCTTTTCTCTGCATTCCCAATCCTTCCTCTGAGAATCACTCCAATTGTCCCGTTGACTTGAAATCTGCAACACTTCTCTTGATCCTTTCATCAACTCTAAAGTCACAAAAAGCACAGGCAAGTCAGCTACATTGATGGCTGCCACATCAGAAACACTTCCTCACCTCTTCGACGTCGTCAGAGCAAGATACCCCGAGTCTCTCGGGCCAGAAAGATGGTACCTCATAGCCGTAAGCCATGGCGACATTTTACTCCTAGTCCAGAACCCTCACACGCTCTCTCTTTTCGTTTCTAGCTACATTAATTGACAATCGCTTCCAACTATCAGGCATCGGCTCTCATAACGAATTCCGACCCTTCCAATCTTGGTCAACTATGGGTCTATCTTATCAATCAACCCGAATACAAAAGTCTCGAGAAAAGAAAGACGCTCAACACGCGATTGCGAGAGTTTCTGTTGAAACAATGGATTACGATAGGGGTGCCGTGCGTATTTACAGTCCTCGCCGCGTTTTACCGTTCCCAGACTCAATATTGAGACAAATTTGGGACCAGCGAAGTTGATTGAAATTCGTCATCTAGGAAAGTGGCCGTTGCTCTGTTTTCCTTGATCAAGGAGGAGCAAACAGGCGATGCGGATCTAAATTTCACAAAGTATGTCACACCATTATTTTTCACCTTGTTCTATCTCTTGAAGATTGTTATTCGAGCATATCGAGTCTTCTACCAAGTCTGCTAGTCAATCGTTGACGTCAATCTATTTCCCTCGAAATGCCTCCCACAGTCACTGAATAACCATCTCTCAGACAATCCACCGCCCTCACTCCCGCCAACCGGGCTCAAGGCGAGCGTTATCTCGCCCACCTTTACACTCAGGAGCAAATGACGACCATGTGGACTTCTTGGGGCCAAAACTTCGAATGGCTGACCAAGGATGTCGTTTACGGCATGTTTTGGGGCGATCACACCGTCCTCGACACCGTCGACACACAACTTATCAATTACACCGCCATCGTCAGCCAGGGATTAGAAGTCACGGTGCGTACTCATTTGAAGGGATTGTCAAACATGGGATTGAATGTTGAGGAGATTGAGGGCGTGACGAAGTGTGGCGAAATAATTGCGAAGTGGGCGGGGGTTGATACGGCAGGCTGGCCAGATGTGAAAGGGATTGCGGCTGACTTTGAGAAGAAGTGAATGAGTGATGGTGCATGTAAGAGATCTTTGGAATGGGGAACGGAGGATTTGTATTTGAGTACTGGCTGTCACCGAGGCCAGCCTTGATCTTGATTTTGAACGTAATGCAGTGAATCGAACGAGCATATTCGGAGAACAGATCGGAGCGACTACAAAAGAAAAACAAAGCCGCGCACACGCGTTCTTCCTTTTAGCAACACATCAATTCTTATTCTATGCCTTTTTGGATCTCGGCCTGTTGGAATTAAAGAGAGGTTATGGATTGATTATCTATAGAGTGATATGTAGGCTACTTATATACTATGTGAAGCCTATACTAATTTGCCACCTACGGGGTAGCTATAACACACTATAGTACTGTAGTATAATTTCTAACACACCCCTACAATGCAGCACCATTAACTATACTATTGAGATTAGTCAATAGAAGGCTAGCATAGCTATACTACTAAGTTTTAAATAGATATTATAACTACTTCTTATAGTAGTAATAATATAAGTAATAAATAGTCTTAGCGTAGGCTTCACATTATAAATAGATAATTTACCTCTATTATTTTTATATACTTTATAAAATATAATAATAGAATAAGTTTAGACTTATAAATTAAATTTATAAAAAGTAATTTATTTTTAAATCTAATTTCGAGATTAAATTCGATTCTCGAAGAGTAAAAATATTTTAATTTAAGATTTATTTAGAATTATAATATTAAATTTTAAAAATTTTAAATTATTAGAAAGCGTAAATTAAGTTCTATAATTTAAAAAAAAAGTAATAAAATTTTAATAGAAAAAGAAGAAGTTATATTAATAATAGATTTCTAGAAAATTAATTAACTTTAAATTAATTTTAATATCTAATATAATCTTTTTACTTTAATTACTATAACTTTTATTTTTATATATTATTTTTACGAATTCTACGATTTTATTATTCTACGATTTTACGATTTTTTAGCGAGAGAGATTAATAAATTCGAACCGAGGACGAAGCGAAATAGTTTCGAAATTTATTAAAATTATTACTACTCGATAATCTAAGTTTATATAAAAGAGTATTCTTAATAAAATAAATAAGTTTTTAATAAGCGATATTTAGATCCCCTACTTTTAAATATTTATAAGATTTAATTTAGTAATTTTTTTTTATTTAAAAGCTTATATTTTATTCTATAATTAAAAATAAAATCTTAAAATTTTAATAGAAAATAAAAAAGTTATTTTAAAATTAAATAATATATATCTAATTAGAGTTATTCGACTATCGAGCGAACTTTAATAAGCGATATTTAAATTTCTTACGCTTTAATAATTATAAGACTAAATTTAGAATTCTTTTTTTATTCGAAAGTCTATATTTTATTCTATAATCTAAAAATAAAATCTAAGAATTTTAATAGAAAATAAAAAGATTATTTTAAAATTAAATAATATATAACTAATTGAGATTATTCGACTATCGAGCGAACTTTAATAAGTAATATTTAAATTTCTTACGCTTTAATAATTATTAGATTAAATTTAAAAACTCTTTTTTTATTTAAAAGCCTATATCTTATTCTATAATTTAAAAAAATCTTAAGTTTTAATAGAAAATAAAAAGGTTATTCTATATAATATAAGATTATTAAATATATATATTATCTAATAGATTATAAGTATAAAATTTCGCTATTATAATCTCTATATCGTTAATTAAAAAAAAGCTATCTACTTAATAAATTAATATTAAAAGAGTTAAAGAAATATTCTTATATTCTTATTATATATTTCTATTTACTTTTTTATTTTTTATAAATAGCTAAATAAGATAATTACTACGTAGACGTTTAATATATATACTACTATATTAATCTAAATCTAAAAATTTCTAAAGCTTAAAAAGAAGAAAAATTATTAGTTAACGAATTATAAAACGTGGTCGAATAAAAATTAATATTATTTTTAAATAATTTATTAGAGAAAGTTATTATTAGAGAGTAATTAGCTAATAAAATTCTACGTATAAAAATTATTATATTAAGATCTATTAATTAATAAATTAAGACTTATAATATTAATATAAAAATCTAGAAAAATCTTAATAATTAAATATCGAAACTTATTTACTCGATATATAAGAATAAACTAGTCGAAGTAATAGAAGATAAAGAAATAGTTATAATAAGATAAAATATTCTTTAAACGAACTATATTAACTTCGAATTTATTCTATACTTTATTAAATTATATAAATTATAGAATATTATTATAGCTAATAGTAATAATTTAATTTAGACTTATATTATTAATATATATATAAAATCTAAGAATCTTAAGCGTATAAGAGTTTTAATTAATAAGTAAATTCTTATTATTCTATTAGTATATTAATATTAGTATATATAATAGAATAAGATAGAGCTAAGCTTAAAAATCTTAAATTTATATATATAGTTAATTATTAATTTAAGTTCGCTACGCTCTTTAATTAAATCGACTAAGTTAGCTCGATAGCCCTTTTACGCTTCTCTTATTAAAAATTTATATATAGAAGTTTTATACTTTAAAGTACTTAGCTTACGATATATATAGTTACTTTATAATTTCTTAAATTATAAAGCTCGCTTTACGCTTTCTAACGCTATAAAAATTATAAAGTTTAATCTACTATTAATGAATTAAATAAATATTTAAATATGATAGTTATGATAGTTATATTAGACGCGTCTAGAATCGAATAATAATCCTTTCACCTATTTATTATTCTTTTACTATTCTATTAATTCTATTAATTCTATTAATTCTATTAATTCTATTAATTCTATTAATTCTATTAATTCTATTAATTTCATTAATATAAATATAATTATCTTCGATACTTCTCGTCTAATTAGAGCCCCTTACTAACGCCCTTAGATTATCTCTCGATAAATTCGCTATTACTAATAATCGAGGTTATAAATAAATTTAATAGCTATTTACTACTACTTATAAACGTATTAGAAAATTCTTAAAAAGAGTTTAAACGAATATATCTTCCCCTATATACTCCTCTCAAGCTAGCGATAGATAAATTAAATTAATATTCAAATATTATAGTTATATCAAACGCGTCTAAAAGTTATATACTCTCTCATAATTCCATATTAAATTATTACTTAGCAAGCGGAGAATACCACTATAACTTGGCCTATTATCCCCACTATATTGAGGAGTAAGAGGAGGAACTACAATAGACAAATACGGAGAACACTGCGGAGAAACCAAGCGGTAATAAGGCCACCATCGTCAAGAACACGGCTCAGCTCTCCAAGATCCCACGTTATATGCTCTCCACGGTTCCATATTAAATCATCACTTAGCAAGCGGAGAACACCACTATAACTTGGCCGTTCCATATCAAATCATCACTCAGCAAGCGGAGAACACCACTGTAACTTGGCCTATCATCCCCACTACATTGAGGAGTAAGAGGAGGAACTACAACAGGCAAATGCGGAGAACACTGCGGAGAAACCAAGCGGCAATAAGGCCACCATCGTCAAGAACACGGCTCAGCTCTCCAAGATCCCACGTCATATCAGTCATCCACTCAGTCAGCCACTCAGCTAGCCACCCAGTCTAATACTCTACAAGAGGTGGAGCAAGAGGAGGAACTACAACAGGCAAATGCGGAGAACACTGCGGAGAAACCAAGCGGCAACAAGGCCACCATCGTCAAGAACACGGCTCAGCTCTCCAAGATCCCACGTCATATGCTCTCCACGGTTCCACATCAAATCATCACTCAGCAAGCGGAGAACACCACTGCAACTTGGCCGTTCCACATCAAATCATCACTCAGCAAGCGGAGAACACCACTGCAACTTGGCCTGTCATCCCCACTACATTAAGGAGCAAGAGAAGTCACTACAGCAGGCGAATACGGAGAACACTACGGAGAAATCAAGCGATAACAAGGCCCCCAGCACCAAGAACAGGCTCAGCTCTCCAAGATCCCACGTCATATACTCTCCACGGTTCCACATCAAATCATCACTCAGCAAGCGAAGAACACCACTGCAACTTAGCCTGTCATCCCCACTACATTGAGAAGCAAGAGGAGGAACTACAACAGGCAAATACGGAGAACACTGCGGAGAAACCAAGCGGCAACAAGGCCACCATCGTCAAGAACACGGCTCAGCTCTCCAAGATCCCACGTCATATGCTCTCCACGGTTCCACATCAAATCATCACTCAACAAGCGGAGAACACCACTGCAACTTGGCTTATTATCCCTACTGCATTGATATAGTATATTACTACGGCCTCTACAGAAGGAACATCGAACGATACATATTTGGATGAATTGAAACCGTCCGATGTCTTGCTCTGATAGCTATTTCATTATTCGAAATATTTTACTGCGGCAGGAGATAATGTGGGATTCACACCACTAATTAGCATGTTGTCTCCATTTCTTTCCGATATTTCGATACTTCTTGCCATAAGGACATGCATGGCCTTTCTCTGTTTTTTATAGGCAATTATTACGGATTAATCCTTTACACTCGATACACCTTCCTAATTAGGCCTTAGCGCGCCTCTCTCCGCACATATGTGCCTATATGTAGGTCAAAAACGCACAGCTAAAATTCCATTTGACTTAGAAAAATGAAAAATCCAACTCTATGAATTTAATTCATAGGTCTTTACTTATATATAAAAGAATAAGATAAAGCTAAGCTTAAAAATCTTAAATTAATATATATAGCTAATTATAAATTTAAGTTTATTACGCTCTTTAATTAGATCGACTAAGTTAGCCCGCTAGCTCTCTTAAGTTTTTTTATTAAAAATTTATATATAGAAGTTTTATACTTTAAAGTACTTAGCTTACGATATATATAATTACTTTATAATTTCTTAAATTATAAAACTCGCTTTACGCTTTCTAACGCTATAAAAATTATAAAGTTTAATCTACTATTAATAAATTAAATAAATATTTAAATATAATAGTTATAATAGTT